AAACCCAACTGTGGATAATAAATTTATCAACCTTCTATCTTTAATTAAAATTAAAATCCTTACCTTCCATATTTAAAAAATAAAAGGTTCTTGAGATTTAATCAAAGATGTAAAAATCTAGAGCACTATTTGTAATGGGTAAAGTGAAATAAATTTCAACTAGTAATAGATAATATTAGCATGTCTTGACCATTATATCTTCGTTTTTAAAAAATGTTGATTGACATGGAAAATTATAAACCTAAATGTACCGTTTTTAAAAGTAGGAAAAAGTCAAATAGTTTTTCCCTTTGTGAGACACACACACACACACACACACACACACACACACACACACACACACACAAAGACACATACTTGCCCCGCCCCCCCCTTCCTGGGACTCAGCTTGTGTTTCACTAATCACAGTATAATTTCTAACATTGCCACTGATCAAGAATGTTCTTAATATAAACAAGAAATTTAAAAAAAATTTTTTTTGGAGAAAAGTCTTACTTTCCAATTTCTGTACTGATGTTTGCACATCTATTTGTGGCTTATTTTTTGACTCCTATAGAATCACAAAAGTGCTTTATATTATCAAATGTAAGGGAAATAGGAAAACAAAGATGAACTCTAAGTCAGGGTTATACTGCTACTCAGGAAGGTCTCACCTGACGTAAAGCCTCCCAACTATTATTACTGAAGCTTTAAGACATTCATGGGTTCTCAAAAATAAGGAAAATGACTAACAGTTCATATGGGTAAAAAAGTCCAAAAGACACCAAATGGTCTTTTTGCAGCTTGACTAACTCATAAAAGGTAATTTAAGAAGCAAATTATTGTTAAGGACAATCTATTTCTTCAACAGAGTATCTAAGAGGATGAGTTAAGCAAACATTTAACTCAGACTTAATAACACTTAAAGAGTCAAAATTTTGCAGAGCTATCAGTTAAACTTCTTGGTAAAACATTAATATCAAGTTTGAAATAGGAAGACTGCAAAATATTCTAGTTGTATCTAAGTGGCTTGCTTCTTGAATTTCATAAAAATCACTGCCCTTGGTAAATTCCTGTTAGCTTCTGAACAGACTCACCAAGCTTCTTGAATAATGAACAGTCTCTAATTCCTGCTCTGTAATCTATCTACTACTGGCACTCAGTGCTCACCCTTTCCTTTAACACAGATTCTCTGCCATCATTCCTACTGAATGGCAACTCAGTTTTTATTTCTCTAGACATACCTTAAGTGTCTCATTACTCTGTCAGGAGGTCTGTCATACTTAAAATCAATAGAGAATATACAAGTAAACATCAGGCAGTGGTGGTCATAGAGAACCTAGCGTGGAAAACGAGTACAGGTCTTTAGAAGGCTGGGAGTCCCTATGCTGCAAGGCAGTGATGTATCTACATCAAGTGCCTTCCAAACCATTCAGTACATTCCTACTAGAATCCCTTCGAGACTCTCCTCCAGAAAGAAGAATAAATTAATAGGCTATAAACAGAAATTGTCCATAGAAGAATAATCTTTCCAAGAAAAACTTTAAAAGATAGCTATTAAGAAAGAGAAAGGGCATCTATATTTCTGTTAAAAAGCACCAAAAACCAGGACTGAAGAGGTTGAGGTACCCTTTTCCAAACTGTACAAGCCAAAGTCTACATTTCTAAAACAAATAATATCCTGATATCAAACTGAAACAATGGCAGCACCCTTTGATATTTCATGTCCTTATTCTTATGTTTTAAAAATGGGTCTAACACCAGCCTTGAATCCTGCTCATCTCCTTATTGTTTAGTGCAGTAACTGTCAGAGTCTACTTAAATAAATATAGCAGCTACAATATTATAAGTGTATGTCCCTCAATGCCAGTAACTTGATACTGTAAGATACTAACATGTATCAGCACTTTACACAGACATATTTGCCATTAAAAATATACATTAGACTCTCAACTCTTCCTCATATGAAAATCAGTTGCTGGGACTGACATTTTAAAGTCATTCTGTAAGATACATCATAGAAAATAGCAGACCAAAATTTAGCATTCATGATATAGTTAGTGAGCAAGGGCAGGAGCAGAAAGGCCACTGTGAGTTTCATGTTTATATTAAAAACAAAACTCTCCTTTTTTAAATAAAAAAATTGGAAATTCTACACCAGAAGTGCAATAATAAATAGAACAATCTTCAAGAAGTATTTGTCACTTAGCTTTTTATCTTAAACTTTTAAGCACATGGTTTCTTGTAATTTTTATATACTGTACCAATTTTTTAGTAAGCAAAATAGAAATATACTACACATATTCTTCCGCGATAATCAACTTTTTTTTTTTTTTAGTTTGAGTCTCACTCTGTCGCCCAGGCTGGAGTGCAGTGGCACACTCATGGCCACCCCAGTGTCGACCTGCTGGCTCTGGCAATCCTTCCGCCCCAGTCTTCCAAGTAGTCAGAACTACAGGCATGCGCTACCACGTCTGGCTACTTTTTTTGATTTATTATAGAGATGAGGTCTCACCAAGTTGCCAGGGCTGGTCTCAAACCTGCGGGCTCAGGCAATCCACTTGCCTTGGCCTCCCAAATTGCTGGAATTACAGGCTGAGCCACTGAGCCCAGTCAATCAACCTTAAACTAGCAAGGCTGAATAGTGGAAGAGCACTCTATAAAAGAAATCACTCAAAAGGCAAAGGTTTATATTTTATAAAAAATATTTTTCCTCTAAAAAAAGTCCTTTCAAATAGACTTAAATTAAAAGCTTCACTCAAGCATATGTGACTAAGTGACCAAAAATTAGGCAAAGGAGTAAATAGAGAAAGAATATCTACAGTTGTCCCTAAAGTTCCCTACATTCTGAACAGCTCCCATTAATAAAGATGTTTTACTCACACTAATCAAGCATAGACCAATCATGCTTTTACCATCTAGGGTATACTATTTTCTTCTCTTGCCCATGTTCCTGACTACATTCAGTATAACTTCAGGGCTAAAAAAAAATTTTTTTTTTTTTTTTTGAGTTGGAGTCACTCTGTCGCCCAGACTGGAGTGCAGTGGCCGCTCCTGGCCACCGCAGCCTCGACCAGCTGGGCTCTGGTGATCCTTCCGCCTCAGCCTTCCGAGTAGGTGGAACTACAGGCGCGCACTACCATGCCTGGCTAATTTTTGATTTATTGTAGAGATGAGGTCTCACCAAATTGCCCAGGCGGGTCTCGAACCCACGGGCTCAGGCAATCCACTCACCTCAGCCTCCCAAAGGCGCAGGATTACAGGCTGAGCCACCGAGCCCAGCTAGGGTTAAAAAAATTTTACAGAAATTTTTTTTGGAGGAGATAGGAGAAGGCTGGGAAGAAAAAAATGCATATACTATACAAATATTACCTTTTGTAAAGCTCCTTGAAACAATGTTGTAAATTGCATTTCAGACATTTCAAAATAATAAACATACAAAATACAGTACTTTCTTAGTTTTCTGGCAGAGGGACAAAAGAATTCATGCCTTTTGTAGGACATGGGCTCAGATTTTAGGCTCAAAATACAGTAAATTGGCAATAATAGTGGATTGCAGGTAAGAGAGAAACTAAGATCTAGATCCATTAGCTTTCATGTGCTGATGAAATTCTGAAAGGCTAACAACAATGCCCACTGGAAACAATCTGTAGTATCTATACTCTGAACCAGTGCAAAAAGGGAAAAAAAATAAATCAAAATGCAATTTTCATGAGTTACAAAGTGCAAAGCTCCCCTGAATCCAATGCTACTGATAAGCTTGGTTTTCACCACTTTATAGTACTTTTTAATGTCTTAAAGTAAATTCAACAAAACAAAAGCTTTGTAAAACCTTTTTCCACATTTTAGTGATTTAGCACATTTAAAGTCATGAAAATTCTAACCTCCCTTGTTACTAACACCTTAATTCTAAAAGGAAAGTTATCATGGTGATAAGTTAGCAAAAAGTTTTTAATATGTTATCTCATATTTTCCAATTCATCTTAGTAAATGATAACGGACACCAGCTAGTATGATTCTGCGATAAACATGATCTATTTTCAAATAATTTAAATAGCTGAACTACCATTATTTAAAATCAAAGTTCAACTTTATTTTAATATTCAAGGTCAGATTCATTCAGGCAATTTCATTTCCTTCACTTTCATCATGATTTTTGAAAGATATGCTTTAAAACTATCAGTTACAAAACTTTCCTTCTGAAATTAAGGCTGTATTACTTTGCCCTTTTAAAATCATAGAGGTGCCTGTAGTTCCTACTATCCATGGTAAAGATGCAAACAGACACAACTTTCCTTTAAAACTGCTTATTGCACTAAAAGATAGCAAAAACAACTTGTCAGTTCTTAAAATAAACATGATTATATTTCTATAAAAGTGTTGTCAATACTGTTCTGTAATTATTAAAGCACTATTCTAATAAATCTAAAAGAAAAGGAAGCTATACTTCAAAACACATACATATATGTTTATATATATATACACACACATACATATATATAAAAATATATATATGAAAATCACATTAAGGTATGAGAGGCAGCAAGTAGCTTGTCAAAAAACAAAACAAAAAAATCCCCCAACAACCCTTTCTTTCCTTCATTCAATTTCAGAGGCCTCAACCCTACAGAGTTCCAATCTTTTAAAATATTTACCCTTTATAAAATCTTTAAGGAATTTCCATGTATAATCCCTAGAAACAGAAGGCTTTAGAATATATATCACTTATCAGAAAGAGATACAACTTCTGACAAGGTTTTATATTTATAGCAGCTTCAACAAACTCACTAAAGAAAAATAGGTTGCTACTGCTTATGTGCACATTGCACGAATGGCAAATGTATCTTCTGAGTGGGAGGGAGCAGACACACTCTCACAAAAACATTTTATACATATATATATAAAATAAGTATTATATATATAATAATTTTTTTTCATAAGACAGCTATACCAAGAGCTGAGGACTCAGAATTGTGTGTGATAGAAGACGGGGTAGGGTGTGCAAAATAAAAGTAGAAATCTAGTTTGCCATGTTTCACATTCAAATGAACTAGATATATGAACACTTGACTGCTACAGGCAGCATTAGGAAAAAAATGTAGGTGATGAAGGCAAGGGACACAGAGAGAGAAATAAAGGTGGTAGTGATGGGAGAACAAAAGGGGAAGTTCCCCAATGGAATGAACAATAAAATATATACACAGACACATATATATCTACTGTATTATCAATCTAGATCCAGATATATATGCATAAGTATGCATGTATATATTTTAAAAATACAGATACCTTTACAAGAATAAATGAATGCACATTAATTTTTTTGCACACACAATTGTGAACAATCGTTTTGATTATTCATATAGGTGTGTATTTTTTAAACCATCATTTACTTTTTCTTTACTTTTTTTTGCAAAGAGAGTTGTGCTGCCAAGCAACTTGAGGTAAAGGCATTAAAAGGGTTAGACTACAAGAAATGAAAACGAAACAATCGCGATACTTCCTATAGGAGACCGCACAAAAAGCAGTTGGCTGGTTTCATATTGCATAATGATGCTGTGTTCCTTGATGAAGTAAACAATCTTTCTTGTGTCAACATAAGGATCAGACCCTGGCCCCACACAGTGTTGGTTTCTGTATGGCTGGAGGTGTCCTTACTCAACTGACTCCACTGGAAACATACGTTGTATGTTGATTCATTTTTCAGTTCTTCCTCTCAGAGAATAATACTTGGATTTTTTAAGCAAAGTACATTGTGCGTAAGGTATCTTGGTGAATCTGCACAGCCTTGGCAAGAGCTTGTGGATCTCGCCCATTGCTCTGTCCTGAAACGTGGCTTCCTTCAGCACTGTAAGAGAAGTGGCAATAAACACAAAAACAAACTTCCTATTCTGATGTAATAATTCTGAAAAATATTATGTGTAGAAAAACTTAAAAACATAAAAAAATAGAGATTGGTATAATGATTTATGATGTGTCCATCACCCTACTTCAATCTTTATTAACTCAAGGCCAATTTTGTTTTCCTTCTCTCACCTCTCCTAGATTAATTGGAAGCAAATCCAGACATATCACTTTTCATGTGGATCACTAACTCCTGTAATAGCTTATAGCACTTTAATTCTAAATGGCGGTACTTTATGGCAAATAGAGAGGCACATACTTAGAGAAGCACTTAAAAAAATTTTCCAAGAAAATCCTAACATTTGGGTTTGAATGAGAATCTATATTTGTTATACTTTCATATTACCTGTCATGTTCTTTGTCCACAAGATGATATCTGGCTCTGAATGCTACCAGGTGAGCATAATACGCTGGTGCAGGTATAGAAACGGATCGTGTACAGCGTACATAAGTGTGGCAGAGCTGGTAAGTTAGTAGCTGAAGTTCATCTGCAGTAAAGCAGTTATCATCCCATAAAACATGATAGTGTGAAGGACGACTGGTACCCTATAGAAAAGGCAATGGCATATTCTATTGAATTTTAAACTCTTAAATAAATATACAGGACAGACCACATTACATAAAAACAGCTTTGTACATTAGTAAAACATATTCTAATTTAATAATCAGTTAAAAGTCTTTGTTGATTCTGGCCAGGCGTGGTGGCTCAAGCCTGTAATCTCAGCACTTTGGGCAGCCGAGGCAAGAGAATTGCCTGAGTCCAGGGGTTTGAAACCAGCCTGGGTGACTTGGCAAGACCTCATCTCTACAAAAAAATCAAAAAATTAGCCAGGTGTGTGGTGCGTGCCTGTGGTTCCAGTTACTTGGAAGGTTGAGGAAGAAGGATCACTTGAGCCCAGCAGGTGGAGGCTGGGGTGGCTGTGACTGTGCCACTATACTCCAGTCTGGGTGATAGAGTGAGACTCTGACTTAAAAAAAAAAAAAAAAAATCTTTGTTGTTTCTAGTTATAAATCCAAAAGGAATGAAAGCAGGGACTCAAGCTGATGCTTGTATACCTATGTTCATAGCAGCATTACAAACAATTACCAAAAGGGAAAAGCAACCCATATGTCTATCAATGAATATCTAGATAAACAAAATGTGGTATATACATAAATGGATATTATTCAATCTGAAAAAGAAAATTCTGACACATACTAAACATGAATGAACCCTGAAGACACCATGCTCAATGAAATAAATCAGTCACAATAGGCCAAATATTGTATTACTGTATGCAAATTTAATCTCAAAATAAAATGGCAGGTGGGGGATTGGGACTGAGCTGTAAACACCAATAAGATTAAGAAAGAAATGTATTGAAAAATTATGGGATTTGGCCAAAATGTCATTAAAGGATCTGTTACTCACTGGTAAAGTTAAAACTAGTGTTTAGAAAAAATAAACTGTGGCCAGGCATGGTGGCTCATGCCTATAATCCCAGCAATTTGGAGGCGGAGGTGAGAGAATTGCTTGAGCCTGGGGGTTCGAGAACAGTCTGGACAACATGGCAAGACCTCATCTCCGCAACAAATCAAAAAATTAGCTGGGTGTGAGATTTCAACTAAAAACGACGACAACAACAACAACATAAACTGTTATATTTTATGGTTAAAAATAATTGGGTTTTAAATTTCAGCTGGTAAAAAAACAAGATATCTTTGGATCTCAAAGTCTGAAGGTTCAAATAAAGCTGGAGAGATGCATAAAGAATATTCTTTTTTTTTTTTTGAGTCAGAGTCTTACTCTGCCTCCCAGGATGGAGCACAGTGGCATGCTCACAGCCACTGCAGCCTCAACCTGCTGGGCTCAGGCAACCTTTCCACCTATCTTTTAACTAGTGGAACCACAGGTGCGTGCCACCAAGCCTGGCTAACAAAGAACATTCTTAAACCAGGCGAGGTGGGGTCTATAATCCCAGTACTTTGGGAGGCTGAGGTGAGGAATGCCTGAGCCCACCAGTTTGAGACCAGCCTGGGCAACTTGGCAAGACTTCATCTCTACCACAAATCAAACAATTAGCTGGGTGTGGTGGCATGCACCTATATTTCCAGCTATTTGGAAGGCTGAGGTAGAAGGATCACCTGAATGCAGCAGGCTGAGGCAGTCAATGGTGGCTGTGAGCATGCCCCTGCACTCCAGCCTTTAGTCTCTGTGAAATATTCCTGGTTACTTGCTGACTAGAGCAAAAGTTTCAAAAGAAAGTTGTTCTCTAAAGTTTCTGGTTAAATATATCGGAAAAATATTCCTATCTTAAGGACTGATAATGACCATTTACATATTAAAGGTCGCCAAAAGTTCCAGAATTAAAAAAAAATCTGTTTAACAGCATTTCTTTCTCCTCTGATTTTTTTTAAATTAAAAAGCTACAGCAGTATTAGGAAATATGGCGGGGGGGGCACTAAAATAGGTACTCTAATTATACAGGTTTATTATTACTTTAACTTTATGAATTTTGGGGGGTTTTATTATTATTATTGTTAATTTTTTTGAGTTGGGGTCTCATCCTGTTGCCCAGGTTGGAGTGGCAGCATCATGGCTCACTGTAGCCTCGATCTCCTGGGTTCAGGGGATCCTTCTGCTTCAGCTTCCTGAGTAGCTGGGACTACAGGTATGTGCCATCATGTCTGGTTAATTTTTTGACTTATTTTGTAGAGGTTTTCATTATTTTTAGTTGACATATAATAATTACACTTACTGCCAGGCTCGGTGGCTCAGCCTATAATTCTGCGCTTTTGGGAGGCTGAGGTGAGTGGATTGCGTGAGCCCGCAGGTTCGAGACCCGCCTGGGCAGCAAGACCTCATCTCTACAATAAAGCAAAAAAAAAATCAGCCGGGCGTGGTAGCGCATGCCTGTAATTCCGGCTACTTGGAAGGCTGAGGCGGAAGGATCGCCGGAGCCCAGCAGGTCGAGGCTGTGGTGGCCGGGAGCGGCCACTGCACTCCAGTCTGGGCGACAGAGTGAGACTCCAACTCAAAAAAAAAGAATCCATAATAATAATTACACTTACTTATCGGTACAGTGTGATATTTTGAGAGAGAGAGATATATATAGTATGTCATAAACAAATCAGGACAATTAGTGTATCTATCACCTTAAACATTTCTTTGTGTTAGGAAAATTCCTCATCTGCTCTCCTGGTTATTTAGAAATATACTGTAAATTGCTGTTAATTATAGTCACCCTACAATGCTATAGAATACTAGAACTTATTTCTCCTACATAGCTTAATTTTGTATTTGATAACCAATCTGTGGTTATTCCCCCTCCCTCCCACCCTTTCTTGCCTCCAGTCACCATTATTCTACTGTCTACTCCTATGAGATCAACTTTTTTTTTTTGATTTGGAGTCGCCCAGGCTGGAGTGCAGTGGCACGCTCACAGCCACCACAGCCTCAACCTGCTGGGCTCTGGCGATCCTTCCGCCTCAGCCTTCCAACTGGCTGGAACTACAGGCATGTGCTACCACGCCTGGCTAATTTTTTATTTATTGTAGAGACAAGGCCTCACTAAGTTGCCCAGGCTGGTCTTGAACCCATGGGCACAGGCAATCCACTTGCCTCGGTCTCCTAAAGTGCTGGGATTATAGACTGAGCCACCGAGCCCAGCCAAGAACAACTTTTATAGCATCCACATATAAGTGAGATCATACAGTATTCATTTTTCTGTCACCTGGCTTATGTCACTTAACACATTGTCCTCCAAGCTCATCCATGTTGCTGCAAATAACAGAATTTCATTCATTTTAATGACTGAATAGTATTTCACTGTGTATATATACCACATTAAAAAAATCAATTTGTCTGTTGATGGATAGTTACGTTGACTCTATATCTTGGCCACTGTGAATAGTGCTGCAATAACATAAGGGTGCAGATATATTTCTTCAACATACTGATTTCCTTTCCTTTGGATATATACCCAGTAGTGGATCACTAAATCATATGGTAGTTCTTGTTTTAGCTTTTTGAGGAACCTCCATACAGTTTGCTATGGCTATACTAGTATACATTTCTACTAACAGTGCATAAGAGTTCCTCTCTGCGTCCTCACCAGCATTTGTTATTCTTTGTCTTTTTATAACGGCCGCTCTAATTGAGGTGAGATGATATCTCACTGTACTTTTGATTTTCATTTCTCTAATGATGAGTGATGCTGAGCATATTTTCATACGCCTGTTGGTAATCTGAATGTCTTCTTTTGGGACATTTGCCAGTTTTTAAATCAAATTTTTTTTTTTTGCGGCTGAGTTCCTTGTATATTTTGAATATTATTCCCTTGTTGAATGAATAGTTTGCCTAGATCAACATCCTAAAGCATTTCCTCTATGTTTTCTTCTAGTAGTTTAATAGTTTTGGGTCTTTCATTTAAGTCCCTTTTTTTTTCCGAGTCAGGATCTCACTTTGTCACCCAGACTGGATCTCCTGGGCTCAGGTGATCCTAGGGCCTCAGCATCCGGAGTAGCTGGGACTACAGGTGCATGTCACTATGCCTGGCTCATTATTTTTTTTTTTTTTGTAGAGACAAGGTTTTGCTATGTTGCCCAAGCTGGTCTGAAACTCCTGGCCTCAAGCAATCTGCCTGCTTTGGTCTCCCAAAATGCTTGAATTACAGGTATAAGCCACTGCACCTGGCCTTCATTTAAATCTTTTAATCCATTTTGAACTGATTTTTGTATGTGGTGTGAGACAGGGTCCAGTTCCATTTTTTGCATATGAACAGCCAATATTTTCAGCAGTATTTATTGAAGTGATTGTTTCTACCCCAATGAAAGTTCTTAGTCTTTGTCAAAAATCAGTTGGGTGTAAATACGTAAAATTATATCTGGTCTCTGTCTTCCATTGGCCTATGTGTTTGTTTTTATGCCAACATCATGCTTTTGGTTAATATGGCTTTGTACTATATTTTGAAGTCTGGTAGTATGATTCCTCTAGCTTTGTTCTTTTTGCTCAGGATTGCTTTGGCTATTTGGGGTCCTTTGTGGTTCCACATGATTTTAGAATTGTTTTTTTCTATTTCTGTTGAGAATGTTATTGAAATTTTGATAAGGACTGCATTGAATCTGTAAATTGCTTTTGGTAGTATGGTCAACATCAATTCTTTCATTTCATGAATAAAAGAACATGGGATATTCTTTTATTTTTTGGTATCCTCTTTGATTTCTTTCATCAGTTTTTTAGTTTTCTTCATAGAGCTCTTTCACCTCCTTGGTTAAATGTATTCCTAGTTTTATTTGTTTGTTTGCTTTTTTCCTTTCATAGCTATTGTAAATAGAATTGTTTTTGTGATTTCTTTTTTGCAAGATAATTGTTGGTGTACAGAAACACTAATTTTGTATTCTAGAACTTTACTAAATTTGTTCATCAGCTCTAAAAGTTTTGCTGGGTGCGGAGGCTCACGCCTGTAATCCCAGCATTTTGGGACGTGGAGGCAGGAGGATTGCTTGAGTTCAGGAGTTCGAGACCAGCCTGGGCAATGTGATGAGACCTTGTCTCTACAATAAAT